GGTGAAACCTCGCCCACAGAGATAGTTCGGTGTCCTGATCACGAATATAGCACTCGTTTTGGGCGCTGGCGCCCAATTGGCGCCAGTTTGGCGCCGCCACCTTTCCCACCAAATTCGGTGTGAATTTGCATGGTATGGGACATTCACTCCAGCGTCATTTAACACTTTCTAGGGCTGAGCGTGTGAGAAAGAGTGTTTTCCTTCAGGTCAGGCCAGCCATACCAGAGCGCAGACAATCACAGCGTCTTCCATCAGCGCCAGCGCCAAAAAATGTGATATATGCAATCAAGATGTTAAATGGTCTTCTTATACAAGTTTTCAGCGGATTTAGTGACCTAGGGTATTTTGGCGCTGAAATACCCTAGGTCGGGCCGGGTGATGTTTGTGTTCAGGAGGTCGAATTACCTCTAAAATCCAACTCTCAGCCAAATCTGCTCACGTAGAAAATAAGTTGATTAACACGTTGACGACGATGGCAGACAATGGTGGCTGACAGCCAGTCTGTCTCATGGGACGATGGCAGACAATGGTGTCTGCCAGTATATTTTCTAAGAATAAAGATGGACGAACAGCCAAGTTTGTCGTGAACGTGTCCCTGGGGGTAGCTTGTCCCTCTGAAATGAATACCACAGCTGCTTGGCGCGAACTACCTGGCGCCCGCGCCACAGGCGCCGGCGCCAAAATACCGTAAATCACCAAATTAGCTGAAAATTTGTTCCTAGGGGTAGTTCAACCCCCTAAACAAGAATATCATGTCCACTTAATGCGTTGACGAAGATTTCCGTCAATGGTGGACGACAGCCATTTTATCTTGTGGGACGGCGTAACCCAATGCTTATATAATCAAAATCTGCGCGGTTGTTTCATTTTCTTTTCTAAAAAATCGAGGATTTTCGGGCCAAGGGGATGCGATATGAATCTTTAGGAGGTGAAGCTACACCGGGAGACAATTTTCAGCCAAATATGCCTCCAGAGGAAGAAGTTGGCGAAAAATGGCCTGGTTTTGGAAGATTGGAGCAATAAAAGCTAAATTGTGTCAAAGATTCGAGATTCGTATACTCGTATCTTGCATTTCTTGAAACACTTTGACCGTAGCCATTCATTTATTCAAAAATTACTAAGTTTCTACGAAGAAAAACGTGCCGTCCCACGGGCAATTCACGAAAAAAACGGCTCGCAGTCAACGTGTTAAGATCCGGCCTGTTCTTGGAAAAGCGGGTTTGTTTTCCAGGTAGAGCGCGTCGAATATGGTGTGAGTCCGCAGCCGACTATCGCAATGCATTCAACCTCACGCCTAAATTCTTTTGTGAGCCACTTGCGCCCTACTGAAAAATCGTTATTGTTAGGGCCGCCCCACCGTCGAAGAGAACTCGACTGTAAACATTTTCAGAACTCCCTTGCTGGAAAATACTTCATCAATCAGGACCAGGCAAAAAAGCCTTCGTGGATTTCGTGAACTCTCGACCACCCAGTTTTTTTTTCTTTGATGGGATTTCTCGACTGCTGTCACATTGGCAAAAGTGTGCTGATTCGAATGGTGCTTATTTGGATTAAATCCGATGAGTGTTAAGAAAGTTATGATCGTTTAAAGTGAAACACTCGAAACGTGCAGAACTTTCCGGACAACCTAATACAAAAGCGGGGGAGGGGGTCGTCGTACCATCTTTCAGAGGGCAGGAGGTCGTACGGATTCAATCAAAATCTCAACTAAGATTGCCTACTGCCATGGGCTTTCAACCAACAAATTTCCCTTTGCGGTCCCCTGAATTCGTGTATCTGGTACCTGAAACCGATAGTAATGCATGTCTCCAAGAGTTCGTTGACATAGCCATCCTCACCACATCACATCGTCTGCCCACGCTCAGGCTCACGTATTTATGTGAAACGTTTTGACTGGTATCACAATCGGCGAACTGCTTCTACAGAGAACACACAGAGTCTTACTTACCGGTTTTTTCCATGAGTGATGACTTTTTTCAAATAAAAAATTGTGTGGGATATGAAGCATTTTCTCAGTGCATTCTGCACTTCTTGGCAGAGTCTTCCTGCCCTTCTAGGCAACATGCCGAGTTTTTGCGCTCATTCTCGGGCAGGGCATTTCAAGACATTGGAACTAAACAAGAAGTCGAGGACAACCAGTGTTTTCAAGAGCAGATTTTGCGCTTTAACGAAGTACTCGAGAGCAAGCCAGCAATCTGGGTCTGGGGGAGGGACTAAACGTACCATTTATGTTTTCAATTTCTCAATTATTTGCTTTTTCTTTTTTCCTCACTGATGAGAGGTGGCTACAAACGGAGCCTATACACCAAGTTTCTGAGCATGTCTCAGGTAAACAGGACGCTAAATGAGTCTAGAACCACCTCATGACCTCTACTAACTCCCAATATCTGGCGTAGTGAATAAGCTGATCCAGTGGGCCTCAATCGAACTCAATAAGGCGTCCGAAGCAATGTTTGCCTGTGGGCTCAGAATTGAAACTTTAAGACCGTTCGAAGCAACTCTGAGCCTCTCCAAGAGAGCGTTCATACGGTTTCAGCGTTTGAACGTAGAACCGCAAGCATACACGAGTATCTTGAGCGATTAGGAAAGTGTAGGTATCGATTCAGCGTTCCTGGAGTAGTATGAAATACTTTCCTAGTCACTCAAAATGCTGACGCAAAGTATGAACGCCGCAGTCTAACATCTCTAACAGTCACCGCATCTTGCCCGTACACCTTACAAAAGAGCTCCTTACATTAGCTTTAACTTCTTGCTTTAACATCGTAAGTCAGGGTTATCAGAAATGTGCATTTTTGCATTTTATCTACTTTGCACTCCACTTTGGTTACTTGTAAAATAATAGGCATTTGATCTTCAGTAAGACTAAGCGCATTTTCTTAAAGAGTATTCCCTATCGATTATCGGTTTGGAACTCAATAGCGTAACATTCCACCTTTGAGGCAAATTTTCGAACTAAAAACCTAGCTTATATAGACAGCGTCCGCGATGGACTTTGCAAGTTTCAGAGGGTGCACTATTTCTAGATATCAGAGTGGCGCAATTGAAAGCACTCATCAAAAAAAAAAGTTCAGGAAAAAGGTGTGGAAGAGCGTGAAATAAGACCCTATGAAATTTAAGGCATGTGGACGAGTTTCGCAAACTTCTGGTGAGTTCTCCAATACACGTCGCCGCCTCGGAACTCTAGAAATTCAGCGTATATCAATGCCAGCAAGCATTGACAACTGTTAACCAATCGGGGCGGGATTAACAGGAAAGGAGGCGCTGCACTCAGCGTTGTTTATCATCCGCCCTCGTCAACGTCGATTCGACCCCGCGAGATGTTCGGATCTGCCGCTGGCTTTCCGACTCCGCGTTCGTTTTAATGGCAGAGTTTTTTCCCAAGGTTGTTCGGCGAACGCTGGCGCCTTTCACGTGCTTATGACCCAGTGCTTAACTTGCTTATGACACAGCACTAGGCCGCTGTCAGTTCGAACACCTTTCTCCGTTCCTAGGGTCATCGTGTTTGTAAAATCGAATACTCAAGAGATAACACGGCGGAGAAGGCGCGGAGAGGTGGTAATTCCTAGACGATCTGCGCAGACGAGTCGTCACGGTTAGAGTTGAAGCCGTTTTGACATCACTATATAAGGTCAGATTTGAAGATAAAAAGACAAACAAATCCCCATGTTTGATCTGCGAGGGGATGTTTTCGTGAAGCATAAACACAGCTTCAACGTTAGCCAGGATGGGAAGTAGTTCAGAGCATCCGCGGCCCTCAGTACTTCAAGCTAGTTGACATGACACATCACCCCTGCGACAACGCAGACGCGTCAGTACAGTTTACATTCAGATATTGCCGTCAAATAATAGATTCAAGACATAGCCTGCCACGGCATCCACTAGTTTGACATTGGCGGGCTGTAACGAGTCAACTAGCCAGGAATACAGTACTTTTCGCGGCGGACGCTCAGCCAATTCAAGGTGGCTGAGTTTGGCGTGCGGCCGGCCAGTTTCTCACCAATTATCGTCGCCTGCTTAGCTCCGGAATTGATGGAGAACGAAACGGCGCGCGCCGCCCCAAACCAAACCCTTCGCCACTCCCCAGAGTTCGCAGCGAACAAGACGTACTAACCAGGTTGTGTGATGCCGCGCTTCGGATATCCTTGACCACACCCGGTAGGATTCATACTGATAAGCTTCCCAGACAAAAATAAACTTCAGTGTTGGGGAATTTCTCCAGCTCCAACCTCTGTCAAATATAAGAATGAGATCTTGATGCCTATTCGGAGATAGTCAAGAGAACTTACTTAAGCTCACCCCAACAGTTCAGAGGCTTTTTAGTCAATGGCGAAAATCTAACCTTTGTAGATCCCATCAACTCACAGAAAACTCGATCTCACAATCTATGCACATCCAACCATTATACAATCCCCAGTTTTTTCAGATATTTACTGAGAACCGCCTCCAAAAACGATATTTGCTGTTCCTGCAGAACACTTCTGGTCCTGAATCCACATGAGCAACTAATTCATTCAGAAAAAAACAAATCACAAAATTTTATCCCTTCGGCGACCAACAAAATCTCATGCCGAGTGAACAGCATTATTAACAAAAACAACGATGTCCCTTTGTAATCGCGAAAAGATTTCGGTTAACACAACAATAACAGTCGGCACTATACGCTCAATTTAACGGTTAGACTTTGCCACTCGTTCCAACTCGTCCTTCTTCTTAATCGCGTAGCTGTTCGACGAGCCTTTTGCGGCGTTCATAATCTCATCAGCCAAGCATTCAGCGATTGTCTTGATGTTTCGGAATGCCGCCTCACGAGCTCCCGTACAGATCAGCCAAATTGCCTTGAGGAAAATCAATTGTATATTGTTAAAAATGTTGCAACTTGGCCAAATTACACCAGTTCACCAGTCATACCTGGTTCACTCTACGTAGAGGGGATACGTCGACAGCCTGACGACGGACAGTACCAGCACGTCCAATTCTGGTAGAATCCTCACGAGGTCCGCTGTTGATGATAGCGTTCACAAGAACTTGGACGGGATTCTGGAATTTCAAGCCGTCAGTTACAATAACAATAATAATAGTCAAGCAACATAATAAGGAGTTCTAATAAGAAGTAATAAGAAGCGCGGTCCACAGGGACCTGGCACCAGACCCTATTCGCGCGGTGGCCTGCTAACATTAAATAACATTAAATATCGTACGGACTGCGGTAATGTCATCTCGGCGCTGATACAGTTTTTTTGGGAAAGGAGGGGGGGGGAAGCATTCGGTCCTCGTTTCTGTACCCCTTCTAGAAAAACGCCGAGGCTTAGAGCGCAGATGACTACCGTCGCCGAGGGATAGTACTGCGTGAGGGATATAGTCTCATCTGAGCCTTGATTATGGAAGGATATTGGGGCCTTGGCGAACGCCACAAAATTACATCAGTACCCCATCGGTATTTCTAAAATACGACCCCGTTCAATACCCGGCAGCGAAAAGGAGACGAAAATTTTGTGCGTAAGAACAAAAACCAACGAAAATGCATAAATCCTCACCTAATGAACTACGAGTTCCCTTCCCACATACTGGGATATTCCCCCCCCCTCAACGATTACGTGTACACTATAGTTCGCTACGGACGGTTGGGCGTGTCAGGCAGTATGAGTGTTCACACTGTTGAAGCCGTTCTCTACCTTTTTGAAACGCGCATGCGACGAAAAAGTGGTAGAAAACGAGTAATACGGAAGGACGAAAGGATGTGATATAGTGGCTATCAATTTGCCACTTCAACAATTGATGGGAGAACGAGTTTGGCACGCGCCAAACGCAGCCGCACTGACACGCCCAACCGTCCGCAGCGAACTACACTATATCTTTCTCTCAGGACAGACTCATAGAAACACCACACTACCACCTGTGATTTGCACTGAACACTCTGTCAAGGTCATTAAGGCAAGGAAAATTTCTATCTCAGTCGCGCTCTCCATCTCCCCTTCCTCGATTACCTCCATTGATGGGACAAGCTCCTACTTACTATAGAAGGAAGAGTGTAACTGCAGTATTAAGGGAATAGCGCGAGTGCAAGGGAAAAACCCCTACAAGAAACTCCATCGAGCCGTTTAAGATCCCCTTCCTCAGCGTTTTCAGATGTTGCCAGGAATTTAAGAATAGATGCCCCTCCCCTAAGGGGAACAGCGCTCCACCTAACCTTGTTTTATATTTATCTTATTTTTATTTTCTTGTTGCCACGCGCGCGGTCCGGGAGGCAAATTCCGAATCGGTACCGCCAAGGCGTCTCTTACATTCTGGAGAAGGAATGGTGCAGACCCATTTAGGGAGCGATAAGAACACTCCCTCGCTGCTGACCCGCATCGAGGCCCTATTGTATTAGCAGCACTGCATCAAGCAGCCCAGTGGATTCTAATCGAACCCGAGTGCGTGCTATAAATCAACAAAGAACTCATCAACGACGAAGACTTTCCCCAATATACCTTTGTTTTTTTCGCCCCTCCTCGCTATGGACTACGTCCCCGTATGCCCCGCGAATAACCGGCCAAACATTTGTCTGTCGGACCTGCAAGCGCACTAAATTTTTTCAGGAGTAGAAATTTTCCCTCGTCGTTAAGCACCCCAAGTAAAATGCTTTTTCCAGCAGTTAGTTAGTAGCCAAAATAAGGGAAACTAGGAAACAGAGAAAACAGATTTTTCACATGCATTATATACTCCGAAAAAAGTTGCAGGAAGTTGAGAAAATTTAGGGAGATGGGGCGGGGCGGATAGAAGGAGATGAGGTTGAATTAGTGAAGGAAACCCTGGGGGAAAGGCAAGGAGAGCGTATTTTGCAAAAAAAAAACCCTGAGCTCGATCCCTTGAGCACCAGTTTATTGTTTGCCTTCTCTAGTGTCCTCAACCAGCAACCATTTTTAACAACTGCGGCGGCGTTGGCTAAGACAAAACTCGCTAAAACATAACACTCTCTACCTCACCACTAAGAAGATGGATAATTTCAAAAGCATGTTTCACAATGCGAACTGTCATCAGTTTTTTGCCGTTGTTCCGGCCATGCATCATCATCGAATTGCACAGACGTTCAACAATTGGACATCCGGCCTTGCGGAAACGCACCGTCTAAAAAAAAACGTTGAGTTGATGCAAGGAATATCGTTTTTATAGATAAACTATGCAAACTAATCTTACATGCAGAAAGCATAGGGGAAAAACAAAGAGCTAACTGGGAGAAGTCATCCTCCAGCGAGGCTAAGATACGTCACATCTTCATCCTCCCCCCGAGATAAGGAATATTCTTAAATGACTTGATCAACGTGGGGACGTCTCACCTTATCTCCTGGACAGCAATAGGGACGCGTTCACACTTTCCCTCAGCGCTTCGAGCGTACGCCATCCTCAGCGTATAGGAAGGTATGGATATCGATCTAGCGTACGCCAGGCATAGTAGCGTTTTCGCGGGCACTTTTGCTCAAGTTAACTACCTGCGAAAACGCTGGCGTACACCAGATCGATATCTATACTTTCCTAGCGCCCAAAACGCTAGCGTACGCTAGATTCATACCTATATTTCCCTAGTCGCCGGCGCTGACGTACGTTCCAAACGTTGTCCGTACGCTGGCGCAAAGTAATGGCGCAAGAACGCGGCCGCGTGGCTTTGTTGCTTCAGAAATGGCCTGCCTCAGACTCGCTGGGGAGTGGTCCCTCCCGAGGCACATAACTCCAAGAACAATGAAATTAATCAAAGAATCACGGCGTGCAACCCAAAATGGACCGAAAAGGAGGACGCTGATACCGTACACTGTGTGAGGAAAAAGGAACCTATTATGGAATATTTCTCCTTCACTGCCAATGTAATCCACCAGTGACAATGTTCAGCTGACGGGAGTGCACCTCTTGTAAAGCTGCTCCATTTATTGAACAGCTTAGGCTGAACATAATCGATAAGAGCACCTTCCATCTAAATTTTTTCAGGGTTACGCATTTTTTGAAGGCTGGCTCAAATGTAATGGTAGTGCAATTTTCCGCAGCTGCGGGAACAACTGTGGCGTTAATTTTTGAAACGCAATGAACTTACCTCCGGCAAATCAAGCGGTGCTGGTGCTTGAGCGCCCGTTTGTTCGACTATCACCGACCAGTCGTCAGACATGCTTTACCCTGAAATACTCCTTATCGTCATGTATTCAACTTTTTCTCAAATGAATCGAGGAAATCGAGAAGCGATTTTATTTCATGAGCGAGAAAGAAAATAACCCTCAATTACGCAATTAAAAAAGGACCAAAGAAGCGGTATAAGGATCCCGGCTGCTAGTCGAATATACTATGGCTCAGGCAATGAAAGCCGCTAACTGCATACATTTTTTATCACAATTTGGATGTCTGTTTAAGGCTTAGAGGCAAAGAACGAACTGGTTCAGCTGTCCCGGACTCCCGCAAGGCAGAGCCCAGTGCCATTCGCGTATAATGGGGTTTCAATATGAACACCAAAGTGCCAGGTGAACAATGAAGCAAAAAAAAAAACGGGAAAACGGTTGTTGAACGCTAAACGTGCTAAATAAGGCGCCTGTTGGTTTCAAACGTTTTGATCTATACAAGCGCACCCAAAAGTGGGGAAGAGGAGGGGGAGGGCAGAGACGACTTAGAACAGCCCCCGCGCTCGAGTAGTACATGGTCGTCCTTCCTTGTGCAAGTAGTACAGCCCCCAAGCTAGAGACTGTCCCACTCTCGCGACTCCACAGCGAGCGAGGAGCGAGCTACAGCCGCTGAAAGTTCTAGTTCTAACGCCCGCCAGTTGGACCGCCCACTTGCTAGATGCCCTCTGACGGAGAGCCGCTCAGTTGTTCTTTGTTGGGGCGGCATTAATCGGAATGCATGTCCTTTTTGCTGACCGCGCTCGTGCCCATGAATGATTCTGCTCTCCTTCATTACATTTTATTCATTAGAGCACATACAGTCAACTCCAACCCATCTCGCAAGGTAAAACGCGTAAAAATCACGAGCGACCCAATTTTCGTGGTGCAAAAGCTCGACGCACTACACTACACTAAAAGATGCACGCTACCGTAACCCTAAATTCGGACGCCGAGTTTTTGAAGTTTCTTTTCCCTTTTCAAGAGTTTTTCTTCCGTGTTTTTGTTGTTTTTCGTATTCTTTTCTTGCATTGGATGATACCCACTACTGGGAGATGTGATAAAGGGATTTGTGAGCCAGGGGTTGCACAGAGACCGCAGCGCGGTGTGACTGTCAGGGAGCAATTTTGTTTGTGGTGTTCTTGAGGACTCTTCTTGCTTTTTTCTTCTTTGGGGAATTACTTATCAGCTACTGTTTCATAATTGAAAAGCAATTATCCATGACACTTTTATCGCGGGAGCTGTCTTTACCGCGTTCAGACATCGCGACCGCATCGGTCGATTGAATAACGCGACCACGACTGGGGCGCTTCAGTGCCAAGCGGTGCACCGCCGCAAGGGCAGAACTCAAACTGGGCCACCTTCACACAACGCCAATTTGCACTTCGCCGCTGCGGCGGGCACAGCTTGGCAGTGAAGCGCCGCCGGCCGCGATCGCGCGATCCAGCCGAACGATCCAATCGCCCGAGCGCTCCGATCATGAAGTCTGAACGCGGTATGAGGCTGTGTTCAAACTTTGAGTCAGCGTTCTCAGGAGACGGCAGCGTTTCCAACGTATTCCAACGTTTTAGGAGCTTCGCGGGTGGTTTTAACATTT